TATCTGTATTAAAAGAGGAACTGGAAAGCACTGTTAACATATGGAGATACATGTGTATATCTCCTGCATTTTCATTTAACATCATATAGTGAGCACTTTCTCTCATTGTTATTCTCCAAAAAACACAATTTAAAATTTCTTCCTAGTATTCCATATCATAAATCTACCATATATATTTTACCAGTCTAATGGATATTTGGATTGTCTCCACTTTGTTCCTTAAAAATGGTTTTCTGAGTACATTTATACCTATTCAGGCATTTAACCAAATTTGTATTTCTGTAGAAGAACTTGTGATTTTAAAATATTTTTAAGGACACACTGTAACTGACTATAGATCAATAAAAAATTATTGTCTGTATCGCTGCTCAGTACATAATTTACCTGGAAATAATCTAACAGAATACTGCTTACAAGTGAGGATCAACAGAAATGTTTAAATTATTAGTCAAGAATTACTTTGGAAGTACGTGTCAATAATTTGTGATTCATGAGATTTAAAACCTCTATTGTTAGTTTCCCTTTGTTTTTACATTATTAAATTGTTAGCTCACCATTTTCCCCACAATGTGTGCCTAATTATAACACTTACTGCACCCCCTTTTAAAACAAGATAGATATTTTAATTAGAAGAAGTCTATGTTAGTGAGATTTTAGTCTAACATACAATGATTAACAGGCATTTGTATGAATTCAGGTCAATGAGAATATTGTCTTTTAGACTCCAAAAGCTAAAATTGTTGTGGATTGAAAAATGTTTCAAAACAAATTAAAGAGAATAATTTTAATAAAAGAGGGCAACACAGGCAACAAAAGCAAAATCAGACAAGTGGGGCTATATCAGTCAAAAATTTCTACATAGCAAAGGAAACAATCAATAGTGAAAAGACAATCTATAGAATGGGAGAAAATATTTGCAAACCATATATCTGCTAGAGGATTAATTTCCAAAATATATCAGGAATGCCCGCAACTCAACAGCAATAAAACTTAATAACTGATTTAAAAATCGGCTGAAGACTTCAATAGACATTTCTCCAAGGAAGACATACAAATGGCCAACAGGTAC